GTTTTCAGATGAAGCCCATTTTTGGCATTGGCTAGGATTTCTGCTTTGCCTCTTCTGCTCCCTATTAAGCTCAGCCGACAGGGGGCGCCAGAGGGAGCCAATGAGGCCGGAGGCGGGATTTCCTGCTTGCTTCCGGTCTACTTCCTGCTTCTGTGAGCATCACCATGTCAACGCCTGTTAACTACTGGGCGGGGGCAGTCTCTTTATGTAACTGCACTGAATGCAGTTACGGTAATGGTGGACAAATACCTCAGCCGCCTCAGGAGAGGTTGAGATCTCAGCCTGGGGGCCTCTTCTGAGGTCAGAGACCCCAGCGCCTACTGAGCGGGTGGTGCTCTTCCCATCTCAGAGGTCTGAGTTTTAGCTTGTTGGCACTCTTCTTCCCAAATTTTAAATGAAAAAATTCCCAGATCTTCATTCCTCCAGCCTAGGAGTAGTAGCTACTTTCAGCAATTGCCACTTCCTAATTTAGGGTGGCCTGACACCCCTCTCTGTCCCCTACAGTTCTCTACTTAACTTTATATCTAGTTAAGTTCTTTATATTAAATTGGCTCTTTCAAGTATTTGGCCAGGCATGCTGCTTTTGTAGGGTTGGGGGTGTGGGTAGGGAAGGGGACGTTGGGTACAGGAGAGAAACCGTGGCAATGCCAGCAGCTTCGAAGAAGGTGGTTTGCATGCTATATTACCCAAACCAGCCAGGGGGGCTCTCAATGAAGTCCAACCACCCATAGCGTTTCCATTCCTTAGACTGCCAAGACGCTAGACTCAGACATGAGTGAGTGAGGTCTACAGTCTGAAACCCTGTGGGTGTCTCTACAACTCACAGATTATTTATAATGGGATGACAGGCAGAAGGATTTTTTTTTTTTTTTGAGCAGTTTCTATTTGAAGAACAAACTTTTTTTTTTTTTATAGAACTCTTTTTAAAGAAAAAAAAAGTATTTTATTGTTTTAGTCTTGTAATGTTCACGGAACGAAAGAGAAGTGATATTTGGATTCCAGGCCAAAATAAGGCAGGGGCCTACCGGTGTTTCTATGGTTCCTTGCTAAAGGGGGTGGGGGTGGGTGGGGAGCTTTCAAGTTCTTGTGCCAGCGTTGACAGGTTTCTATGAATGGTTTTGTGGCAGGAGAGCATGGTTACAAACTGGACTATTCTGGTTGAAATACCTGCTTGCCTTCTCAGATATTGCCAGCATTTTTTTTTTCCTGCCTTGTTCACCTCCTTGAATGCCTAGTGTTTGAGAATATGCTCCTGAATGATATATGTGAGCTAGCTCTCCCATCTGAGAGCAGGAAGCTGGAAGGTGACTGATAGAGCCACCTGCTGCTCTCTACTTTGCAGAGACCGAGGAGGAGCCTGAGACTGTTCCTGGACATCCTGTGAACATCAGAAAATATTTTGTGGAGGCATTAAAAGAAGGGGATATGGTGTTCACATTTCCTTCCATGGATTCCAACCAATCTTCCTTGGAAACAAACACATCTTGACAAGTGATCTTTCCTAAGCAAGGACAAAGGTATTAAAAAGGTGAGAATTTTCTTCATGTTTCATTTTTTCTTCCTCTTAGATTCCCATGAAAGTTATGACCAGGCAGGACACAATCTTATGCTTACAAAGAGGACACAACAAGGGAAAACAGTCATTGTTGAGAGGGTTTGTCACATTTTGTTTCTCTCCTTTTAGAGTTTTTCCCCCCTAGATCATCTGGTTTTCTTCGATGGTACTCAGTACCCTGTACTGTATTATTTAAAAGATGGTTGTGGTTTGGAGGAAGAAGCATTAAGGCTTGTGGACAATAACAAAACAAAATGAACAAACAAAAAAACTGGGGGAAAGGCGAGTGGGGAAGAGTCCCATATTTGCTTCTTAAAGCATATGTGACATTTGGCAAGTTATTTAGCTTTTATCTTCCTATTTAAAAAAGAGGCCTAATACTACTACAGCTCAGGTATGTTGTGAAGATGACCTGGGGCAATGTAAAAAAAAATATTTGTGGCCCACAGAAAGCACTCGTTAAATATTGTATATGCGTAGCTTTGTGTGCCTCTGTGTGTATACGTATTTTAAATTTGGATAGACTGAATTATCTACATGAATGATTACAATGCATTTGTTGGATCATATCCAATTTTTTTGTACTTGTTTAAGAACATTTTTTAAAAAGGGGGTGGCTAGATACCAAATCTAACCAATGAATTGTATGTAGTAAAAGTATCCTAATATGTAAATTGCCAAACAAGCCCAAGAAGTGTACTTTTAAAAGGATTGAAATCTTTGGATTTCTAGAACAGACACTGAGAGTCTGAATTTCAGGGATTGTCTCTCTACACTGATTAGAAATTCTAGGCCCCAGATAAGAGCCCCATTTAGGAACAGGGTGGTCAAGGGTGGGGGAAGACTGAGGAATGAAGGGTGGGTGCAGATTTCCTCTTACTAATTAAACCTCAACGTCAACAGGTGCTCAGTTCTGCTTCCCTTTCTTTTTCTCTTGGAGGGGGGGTGGAGCCAGGCTGATCCCAGCACACATGGCCAGTTAGTCCAGTCAGGCTCTAGGCCCCCCGCCAACAGGCCAGGTGTAAGAGATTCCTAGGCCGGTCTTTACTGAGGTTATTTGTCTAGTAAAGGAATGTATTTTTGCCATCACTTTGGAGTTACACTTTTGATGTTCCTGTGAATACATTCAGGGTTAGTGTGTAATTGAAGGCGTTTTGTTCTGTCCAAGGATTCCATCCTCCTCCTCCGTCCTTGTGCCCAAACTCTACTGGTTTCTCATTCCGTGAGGATGATTTGGTGGAAGAAGATACAGTGGCAGCAGCGTTACCTGTGGGCCCTGGGCTGCTATATGCTGCTGGCCATTGTTGCTCTGAGGCTTTGTCTCAGATTGAAATGTGACTTTGATTCCCTGGATCTGAAGTCCAGAGATTTTCAGAGCCGGCACTGTAGAGACATCTTGTACAAGTCCCTGAAACTGCCAGCAAAGAGATCCATCAACTGTTCTCGGATCATCCAAGGGGACCAGCAGGCAGTGATCGAGGCTGTGCTGGACAACCTGGAGATCAAGAACAAGCGGAAGCCTTTCACAGACACTGACTACCTTAACATGACCAGAGACTGTGAGCACTTTAAGGCTGAAAGGAAGTTCATACGGTTCCCTCTGAGCCAAGAAGAGTCAGACTTCCCTATTGCCTACTCAATGGTGGTCCATGAGAAAATAGAAAACTTTGAAAGATTGCTCCGAGCTGTGTATGCCCCTCAGAACATATACTGCATCCACGTGGATGAGAAATCCCCAGAAACTTTCAAAGAGGCAGTCAAGGCAATTATTTCATGCTTCCCAAATGTCTTCATGGCCAGTAAGTTGGTTCGGGTAGTTTATGCCTCCTGGTCCAGGGTGCAGGCTGACCTGAACTGTATGGAAGACTTGCTCCAGAGCCCAGTGCCATGGAAATACTTACTAAATACATGTGGGACAGACTTTCCTATAAAGACCAATGCCGAGATGGTCCTGGCCCTCAAGATGTTGAATGGGAAGAACAGTATGGAGTCAGAAATACCTACTGAGTACAAAAAGACTCGCTGGAAATATCACTATGAGACAAAAGACACATTGTACGTAACCAACAAGATGAAGGATCCTCCCCCTGATAACATACCTATGTTCACAGGGAATGCCTATATTGTAGCTTCCCGAGACTTTGTCCGACATGTCTTAGAGAACCCCAAGTCCCGACAACTGATTGAATGGGTAAAAGACACCTATAGCCCCGATGAGCATCTATGGGCCACGCTTCAGCGTGCACCATGGATGCCTGGCTCTATTCCCTACCACTCCAAGTTTCACGTCTCAGATATGGCAGCCATTGCCAGGCTGGTCAAGTGGCAGGGCCATGAGGGAAACATCAGTATGGGGGCACCTTATGCACCTTGCTCTGGAATCCACCAGCGGTCTATCTGTATTTACGGGACTGGAGACCTGCATTGGATTCTTCAAAACCATCACCTCTTGGCCAACAAGTTCGACCCAAAGGTGGATGACAATGTTCTTCAGTGTTTAGAAGAGTACTTACGTCATAAGGCCATCTATGGGACTGAACTCTGAGATAAACTATAAGAGGATTGCTACCTGTGGGGCAAGAACATGTGGATACATACTTCAGATGGGCTGGGACAATGTGGGGTGGGAGACCAGGGCTCTGCAATCTGTGGCATCCCCAAGTTAGGGGGCTGCTATCGGAGTGTGGGTAAGTAGATCTGCCTTGCAACTTGCTGTCCTGGGTGAACACTCCTGGTGAGCATTCACCCACCCCACTCCTAAGAGCTCTCCCACTGACTTTGTCACAGAGTCAAAATAAGAAGCCGTTATTTGGGAGAGTAAGGGAGGGAAGTGTGGCAGGGGACCCTGGATTTCAGTTGAGTGCTTGCTGTCTGCTTTTCTACTCTATGCTGGTTCTAATAAATTCTAGGCTTGGTAGTGGGGGTGGGGTGGGACTTTAATGAAAAGAGGGCCTTTTGTACTATTAACTTAAAAATAAATAGCTCTTTATTCAAAGCCCTACCTCTACTTTCATCTAATAAGCCAGAAAAAAAAAGATACAAGTGTGAGACTTTTTCTCATAACTATTTGTGACATTTAAAATCCCTGGTGGCTGGCAAGAGAATCTCCATTATTCCAAAGTTGATCATGGCCGAGTGTGTAAATAGCAGATTCAAAAGAATGTACAGGAACAGAGTGGATTCTTTGATTATTCAAAGCCCTCCTCATTTTGTTTACATTGCCAGATTCATGACTTCTCTGTAAGGGAAAAAGGGCGATCTGACCAGTGTGGTCACTCATATACTTACGGGACAATTACAGCACTAATTTTGCCAGCTTCACAGCCAAAGCTTAATGTTCCATAGCAAAGACAGTGTTTTAGGTAAGGCCCTCATATAATTTCTTGGCCAAACTGGAACACATTTTAGTGGGGGAGGGGTTGAGAGGGGCACCTGCTTGGCTCAGTCAGTTAAGCATCTGACTCTTGATCTCAGCTCAGGTCTTGATCTCAGGGTGGCGAGTTCAAGCCCTGTGTTAAGCTCCACGCCAAAGTAATTGAAAAAAAAAAAAAAAAATTGTGTTGGGAAACCAGAATGAACTAGGACTGTCTAGCTAAATCAGGAAGTCTGGGTATTCCAAGTTTAGGCCTCTTTAGTCAAAACTCTTATTTAGGTATGTGAATGGAAGGGTCACTATTTGTGGCTCTGTGGTTTATACATTTCCTTACAGGAAAACAATTGTGTATTCTCCCACACCTGCAGTAAATGTTACCCAATGAAAGATTCCTTTCTGAAGCTCCAGAGAGAGGTGACAGGCAATTGGAAGGCAACTGGCTATTAGTCATAATCTTCTGTGATGGGAAAGGGATATTATATAAAAAGATAGGCATGTCTTATGGTCTTCTGTGTACAATATGCTCTGGAAAAGGGATTTAGACACCAACTGGTGTAATGTGAATGATCCGATTAATGCGTGATGTCACTACTGTGTTTCTTCTTGGTTATGATTCGTTTAATCAAGTTTTCTCTCACAGTCAACCTTCCCTGCAACCCATGTACTCTGACATAGTTATCATTGTGTCTAACACAGTGAATTTTCTATTGGTAAGTTGTTATTTCTTGTAAGGGCCTACTCCTCTGGTGATGGGCATTGCCACCCCTCCTTACCTGTACTGTGATACTGAGTCCTCCTCAGCCTTGCTCTCAGCCCCACCACAGAGGTGACTGATGAATAGTTATGTACTCGGCAGATGAGCCCTGTGACGTCTGTTCCCAGCAGTGGTGACCATGGACCTCTCCACCTGCTACCCTTTGGGACTGTCCTTGTTCCTCCTCTGAGGGGGCTTGAAGGGGGGACCTGCTGCTGTGGGAAGTGGGCAGAAAATCTCCCATGTGTGCATGGGTTCTGAGAAAAGAATTCAGGTCTTTGGCCTCACAGTCAACTTCCTCTGTAAGTTTTCATGTGAAATAAATTGAAAAAGTTTAATATAAATTAAAAAGATAAAAGTGTGAACTTGTCATTTTGGGGGAAATAAGTTGTTGGACTTTTCCAAGCCCTGAAATTTTCTCTAGAAATATATTTAGGTGAATAGGAAGTGCTCTTTATTTAATAACATGCGGTCTTCACATCAGAAGGGTCAAAATTTGCCCTCATTTATTGAGTGTATTTTAGAAATCATATGATTAAACCAACATATCTGTTGGTTTTTTCCTTCCTTCTGAGTCCTATCTGTTTCTTTAACCTTTCTTGGGACAAGAAAAATCATAAGTGAGTTGTGCAACAATGTTTGTATTACCTCTCAAGGTTTGAATATTTCCTCTTTTTGATTTGGTAAGCATTGTTTAATCACTATATTTTTATTGCACGCTCTGCCTATTGTAATCTTTGCTCTTGATTGAGGGAAAATTTAAGAAAGGAAGAAAAGGCAGTTGGTAACACTGTTTGGGAATAGCTGACCTGATTTGTTCAGGGGAGAGCAAGTATTTGCATTAAAAATGAAAAGGACAATTGAATGCATTGCCTTCAGTAAGTACCTTCATTAAACTGAAGATCCGTTCTTCTTTCTTCCATTTAGTCAGTCATTTATTACGAAGATAGTTAAGATGTGGTTCCCATCTCTTTGAGGCTTGAGTGTGTGACAGGGACTGACATAACTCCTATGTTCGTTCCGCAAATAGTAACTAAACTCTTACTGTTTACTAGGCATTGTTCTTGACACCGGGGATATAGCAGTCAACAAGACAGAAATCCTCATGCTCCTGTTGTTACATACTAGCAGGAAACCGACAGCAGACAGATAAGTAATACATATGTGTATCAGAAGGAGATGGTGCTAGAGAGAAATTAAAGGAAGTGATAGAGACTGTAGGAGAGTGGGGTGGAGAGGGAGAGGGCTTAACACTGGTAAATACTGTGGTCAGGGAGGCCCTTAATGAAAAAGTGACATTTGAGTCCAGATCTGAAGATGAAGGGATGACCCATGAGGATAAATGGGGGAAGAGCATTCTAGGCCAAGAGGAAAGAGTTGCAAGGCCTTGAAGCAGAAGCTCATCTTCCATGTTTGAGGAGCAGCAAGGAGGCTAGTGACAATGGAGCAGAGGAAAGGTGGGGACAAAGAAGAGGTAACAGTACAAGGGAGAAGGGGTATGCTGTGAATGCCCTTGTAACCCGTCACATGGAAATTGTCTGCGTGAAATAGGTAGGACATGGAAGGTTTTGAGCAGAGGACTGACTTGATCTGGCCAGCGTTTCAATGGTGCACCAAGACCAGACTGGTTGGGAGGGAGGGGAAGCAGGAAGGCCAGTTAGGAGGTTCTGGCAATAATCCTGGCACTAGCAATAGTGGCTTAGGCCAGGGTTACAGAAGTAGAAATGGTGAGAGTGGTCCGATTCTAGAAATGCTTTGGCGGTTCTGTTTGAGGACCTGCTGACAGACTGAGTTTGTTTAGGAGAGAAATGGTGGAGTCAAGAATGTCTCCGAGGGTTTTGTCCTGGTGAGGAGTCAGAAGGATAGAGTTTCCGTTAACCAAGACGGGAAACCTGTGAAAGAGTGGGTTTTTAGGGGCAGATCCGGAGTTTGATGTTGCACATAGAAAATTGGAGATGCCTGTTAGACATTTAGGTAGAAACGCTGGGAGACAGATGTGTCAGGAGCCTGAGTTCAGGAGAGAGGTCTGGGCTGGAGACATTTCGTTGGTGTTCCTCCACTTACGCAGTGTGTGCACGATGCTGCATATGAGCCCCAGAGGAGAAAACATGGATGGACACTAAGCCCCTGGATGAACTCTGGGGATCTCCAAAATGAGAGGCCAGAGATGTAAAGAGGAACCATATAAGAAAGTTGGAAAGGAGCAGCTAGTAGTGTGGTAGAGGGCAACGTGGGTGCTCAGTATTCTGGAAGCCTGAAGGAGAAAGTGATCTGGGAAAGAGGGAGTTGATGATTAAGCCTAAAAACGGCGGAAAATCACGGAAGACGGCGGTGAAGAAGTGGCTACCGGGCTGAACAATGTGGAGGTGACCTGGATGAGAAGATCTGTGTTTGTGGAGAGTGGAGGTGAGAACATGACTGGAGTGGTTCAAAGAGGGTATTAGAACAAATCGGCATTCAGCGCATATAATCATTTGAGTTTTGCTCTAGCCCAAGAGAAGGGGAAAAAACTACAGCAACCGAAGGTTGAGAAGGTTGTCTTAGACAGTAGAAAAGTGATAGTATGTCTGTAGGTTGATGGGAAAAATCTAGTCGAGAGAAAAGGTGTGGGAATGAGATGGGAGACCTGCCAGAGTGGCATTCTTAGGAAGAGAGGGGGTAATTCTGTAGGGCACAGGAGGCAAAGCCTATCTTTGATGGAACACCCACAGTAACAGGAGTGAAGGCCAGTGAAGGGGCTCAGATGCACGTGGACAGTTCCATGAAGCAGTGGGAGCTTGTGGAGTTCGGTTTCTCTCTTCTTTCATTAACATTGCACCTGAGGTATAATACACACACAGGAAAGTATGTGTTACTAGGATCCAGGTCAGGAAACAGAACATTACCAGCAATCCAGAATGCCCCTCTATCCCTTTCCAGTTACCACCGAAGCTACTGTAAAGAAAACTATGGTCCTAACACCATACGTGATTTTGCCTGATTTTTACCTTTCTTGTAAGTATTATATTCTCTTTTGCTTATGACTCCTTCAACTCGCTATTATGAGTTTTATCTGTGTTGCTTTGTAATACTCCATTATATAACTATACCATAGTTTATCCATTCTCTTGTTGATGAATATTTGGGTTGTTTCCAGCATTTCTCTGAGTTATGCTCCTGTGAACCTTCTGGAACCTGTTTTATAGAAAGCACATATACGTTGGGTACACATCTAGGGGAGAAACTCGAGCGGCCATGAGCATACATGTGTTTGACTTAAGAATGTGATGTAGTTTTACAACATGATGAGTTTTACAACTCAGCTTCCACTAGCAAGGTGTGAGAGTTTCATCTGCTTCCTTGTGACTTTGGGCATACCTTGTTTTATTGAGTTTCACTGAATTGTGCTTCTCTTTTTCACACCTGGAAGGTTTGTGGC